CACCAGCCATCTGTAAATTAATTCACACAATCAAAACTCCAGAATATCAGTAAATAAACAAACAAACAAAGCTATCACTGACAAAGATATACAGTATTTTCTTTCTCAGTGTAAGCTGGTTTGGAAATATGCTATTGTCAAACTATTATTTTTCAGGCTGCACTAGAAAGACCACTGTTTTGCAATGAAGTAGAATTAGTCATGCAATGGAATGGCATCAGCTGGGGTGAAAAGGATTAGTGCTATTTGCTTTTTCCACCAGACATATAATTGCTATGTCCATGCCCAAGAAACTGTGCCTCCATTATATCCTACAGACTGTTATGAAAATTGCACAATGAAGTTGTAACACAGCAGTGCATGTGGGTGTGCGCACACATGAATGTACACAGATAACGGAAGGGATGATTATCTGCTGTTTTAATTATTATTTTAAATATTCCTTACTCAGGAAGTTTGGCATATTTCATTCAGTGGAAAGAAAGTGAATAAGGCTTTATATATATATGCTCTGAAAGTAGGGACTTGGTTTATTTTGTCTCCTATAAAAATGGTAATGCAACAATTAGCAAGGTCATATTATAAGGCACAGATTTTACTCTAGCCTAATGGATGTAGGGATACACATTCATCAGCAAGGATGAATTTAGCATAAAACGACATGTAAATGAATTGATGACTGATCATAAATTAATTTTAGTGCTGAAGATGTAATGGAGGCACAGCAAGTTGCCACTTTATCATAGTATTTTACTGCTCAGCAACATTTGAACAACTACTTAATGTTCAGTGTGCATGCTAACAGCTTGAATAAATTTGAGAAAATTCTTTGCCTTTCAGCAATATGGAGGGGTGGGGAAAAGATTGCAAGAAAAGATTGAAATTTAAAACTGAAATAAATTTGGCTAAGTGGCACAAATTCATTTTTCATTGATGCTTACGAATGTTTTGATGATTCTGCATCCATAAAAACTGTCAAATGTATAGATATATTGCATATATGGTACTTATTAAAGTTGTTCTGGACAGGAAAATAGTATATAAATGTACAAATTCCATCCTATATTTAAATATACTTTCCAATACAGATAATTGTATGATATTAAGCTTAAGTCAAAGTCTAATTACCTAGCATTAACATGCATTTCATTTTGGATTTTTGCTTTCCTCTTTTAGCTTATTTTCAACAGTCTATTAACTCCTGTATATGAAATTTAGATCTATAACCAAATTTGCTTATTTAACAATGACACCAGGGATTCCATCACATTGCCTCCAAAAATGATTTCACAGTAGTATGTCATAGCATGTACAGTGCATTATGGTTTAAATGTGTTTCCAACTAATGCCTTTATTAGTCATAGAAAAAAGTTAACTTTATATTATTATTGAAATATTAAGCTGGGTTTTCTATTTCCAGTTTTCAGGAAATCACACAATGGTTGAAATCCTGTTGCTTAGCATAAAGTTGCACTAGAATAAGCCCACTGAATCAATGGGATTTGATGAGTCAACTCCTTAATTTTCATTAATTCAAGTGGGCCTACTCTACTTATATCAGCATAGTAGATTTCAATTAGATTAAGCCCATTTGAATCAATGGAATTTATAGAGGAGCTGATTTACCAAATCTCTATTTATTCAATAGGCCTACTCTGGTGCAACTCACTACAATAAGATTTTGACTACTGAAATAGTTCTCTTTCCATATTTTCAGCAAATTAAATCAATGCTTGAAACACAATGCATTTGAACTATCACATAAGTGAACTGTGTCTGACACATTAAAGTAATATATACTCATGTTGCAATTGAAATAAAAAATGAACTTAAATCATTCAAATAAGCAGAATTTCAAATTTAAAAGTACAGTGAAGAAAACTACTTAGTTTTTATTTTATTTATTTATTTATTTATTGCATTTATATGCTGCCCATCTAGACATAGTCTACTCTGGGCGGCTCACAACTTAGTTAACAGTCCTGCCTCCAAGCCCCCACAGGTCTTGGATGATACCTCACAGGTATCATTTAAAAAAGGTATGAAAAATAAAACAACCAACATTATAATGCCATTGTACAAAACGCTGGTAAGGCCGCACCTGGAGTATTGCACAAAGTTCTGGTCACCGCACCTCAAGAAAGACAGCGGAACTGGAAAAGGTGCAAAAGAGAGCGACAAATGATGACTGGGCTGGGGCACCTCCCTTATGAGGAAAGGCTACAGTGTTTGGGGCTCTTTAGTCTAGAGAAAAGGTGTTTGAGGGGGGACATGATTGAGATGTATAAAATTATGCAGGGGATGGATAAAGTGGATAGAGGGAAGCTCTTTTCCCTCTCATGCAATACTAGAACCAGGAGACATTCACTCAAACTGAGCATTGGGAGTGTGAGACAGACAAAAGAAAGTATTTCTTCACCCAGCGTATTGCTAGTCTGTGGAACCCCTTGCCACAGGATGTAGTGATGGCATCTGGTCTAGATGCCTTGAAAAGGGGATTGGACAGATTCCTACAGGAAAAGTTCATTGCAGATTACAAGCCATGGTGGGAATGTATAATCTCCAGGCTTAACAGGAAGGTACCTCAAAATGCCAGATGCAGGGAAGGGTTATCAGGAGACAGGTATCTAGTCATCTTATGTGCTCCCAGAGGCATCTGGTGGGGCTACTGCGAGATACAGAAAGCTGTACTAGATGGGCTCTTGGCCTGATCCAGTAGGGCTCTTCTTATGTCTATAAATGCCATCCACTGCTACTGTTAACAAAGAGAATTAGGTCTACCAAACTCTACTTCAATAAAATTCTTTCCACTTTTTTGAACTTGAACTAGACTAACAAAAACAAATCACTGATCATGTTTTGATAAAGTTATTAAAGAAGTCAAATGATTATATTCAAGAGGAGATCAAAATTAGTCAATTTATCGTCTTTCTCACACATGTGCACTGCGTTTATTTTGGTCTACAAGAACAATTTTTGTTTCTTAAGATCTTGGCATAATGACTAAGCTTGGGCATTTTTTCAAAGTATTGTAGTTTATAATCACCACCACCATCATCTTAGAACTACAAAACTGGATGGGACCATGTGGATCATCAAGTCCAGCCCTGTCAAGAAGGCATAGTGAGGAATCAAACTCTCAATCTCTGGCTCCAAAGCCAGATTCCTAAACCACTGATATATCCAGCAGTTCGATAGGGGCTAATATGAACAGAGGGTTCACTTTTTAAAAGCATAAATGGTAATCAATGTACTTCAACTTTATTAGGAAGATCAAAACTGTGTGGTGTAGAAATGTAAGTGTGCTAAGTGTTCTTTAAAAAATTACATACCTATGTCTACACTAAGGTGCTCATATAAAAACACAATATGTAACAAATATATTTGAAATACTTATATACTTTACTATAAGGCCTTCACTGATTTGCTAGTGGAAAGAGTAACTGCAGAGATACACAAAATTATTCAGAAATACAGCCAGGAGCAAATTATATCTGAGATGCCAACAAATTCAAACAAAATGGCTTAATATGCTTGTGGACTAATAAGCCAGTCTTTCAAATGCAAAGATTTAAGCATGTAACTACAGGCTTTCAGTTGGCTGTGGATTTCAAATCACAGCAGTCAAACTACAGTTCTTAAATCTTAATTAGCTTGGCAAGGAGTCTGGCCCCAGGGCACAGAGGAAGGGAAAACTGGAAAGTAGGATAAAGCACAACTTCTTTTAATTCAACAAGAGAGAGATGGGGGAAATCAGAGGCACCGATGCTCCATTCTTGTCCTTTTCTCACCTCTGTCAGTGGAAAATGCAATGTGTTTTCATGGCTGCACTGTTTAGATAAGGGCAATGAAATGCTCAGAACAACTTGTAAGGCACAAGGAACGAAGGCAAACATTAAGAGAAACTGCATTAATACGTCTTCAGTGAGCAGACATATCCTGAAAATACATGTAGAAATTAGTACTGTCCCATAAAGATCAATGACTGAAGAGACGTACAATAGTTTTAATGAGTTATATAGACCATGCATGCTTGGGCTCCAATAGACCTCAGTCGATATAGATATAGTATGTTAAATAAAGGTGCAACATCAGTTGAAATGAGAGTCTGTTGAGCCCTGGAATGAGGTCACGATATTCATGTGAAAAGGGCACATCTCAGAATGAAGTAACTGTCCACTGTATCTTCTGTTAAAAGCAATTTTACTACCAATTCAGGATGAGAAAAATGTGTTTTCAGGTATGATTTTGACAATTCTATTTGTGCTTTCTCTAGGCACACAAAGAATAGGAGAAGAAAAACAGAAGATGTCCAGTCAATTAAATAGTTTTGGGCAGAAAAGAAAGAATGATTAACTCTAGCAATATGAAGAGAACACACAGAAAAAAAGGCACTATGTTTAAGTTCTTCCATTCTGCAACAAAATTCATCAAAACTGCCTTGTTAATCATTTGTGCTCAACATTTTTATACAGCCAAAAAGGAAAAATAAACATTTGATTGCCATTTATAAGTAAGCGGACAACCGTCTGTCAGATTTGCTTTGATTTGTATTCCTGCATTGAGCAGGGGGTTGGACATTATGGCCTTTATTCACCCCTTACAGCTCCATTATTTTATGATTCTATAATGCTGGCTTTTTAGATTGCTCCTGAGATAAAAATGTATTTTAAAAAAAGTCAAGCTGCTTCTTTTTAAAATCTATCCAATGCCCACATATAATGGACTTACTTTCCCTGTCGAGTGAACTTTCCATGAAAGCTGGGATATAATTGAGTTTTCTCTCATGTCTTTAAAGCTTTTTAAAATTCATGAACTTTCTTATTCTCAGCAAAGCAGAAGTGTTTTCAGATCCTTCTTTAACTATTGTGCTTAAAAACAACACATTTTAAAGGCAACAGGGACAGAGCGGGGGGAGGGGGACGCTCTTAAACAGCATATTGTTTATGACACATTTATAGCCTTGCAAAGAGAGTTTAATGTAAGTTTCGTTTCTCTACCTGTCACAGAACTGTCTAGATTGTCCATGCTGGATCCTGGTGTATGTTCTACTCCTCTCAATGGCTTTGTGATTTCTACAGCCTCTTCTTCAATATCATCCTCCTCTTCATCCTCTGGAATATCTGTTTCCAAATCAGATATTAGAGTTCCAGATACGTATCCTAATGGTGGGACTGGGGTGTGGGGTGGCTGAGTATTGCTTTGACTGTGCCTAAAATAGGAAAATTTTATGTTTAAACACAGCACAATGCATTTAAAACAACAACACTTTTTAAATATATACCAGCACATTTAAAAAATGAAGACGCATGGCCCAACAAGTGTTAAACCGTTTGAAGGTCTACTTGTTTCACCTGGTGAAAAACGTGCTACGAGAAGTCTGAAGTGCTTCTGTGTGGTTTTGACAATTTTTAAGTGTATCAGTAACACCTAGTGATATACTGCAAGGGTGAAAAATGTGCTGAAGAATTTGTGGCCAGCTCTAAATCAGAAGTATGCTCATTTTTGCTGATTATTTCCAAATGTTATAGGATGGGAGCAAGGCTCTCTCTGGATCAGTTTTTTTTTCTACTGCATTTTATGTGATACAAAAAGAAAATCTCTAAAAAAGTTTCTTCAGTTAGAACTGTGTTATTTCACAGGTCAGAACTGATAACAATAAAATGTTGCAGCACATTTTTTGGGGAATATATTGGCTTTTTCGTAAGGCAGACCATTTTCCTTTGTGAAATAAATAACTAATGGATGGTGGCCTTAGTTTATCTGAACATTCTGGAAGTATAATTTGCTTGTAGAATTGCTCCTGTGGAATGTTTTCATTCTAGTTTACAAGTCATATTTTAACTTTATTCTCCATTTCTTGAAGTTCAGTCTTTGTAATTTGCTGCGAAATTCCTCAAATGTGGCATTTCCAGATTATTAGGTATATGATTAATGTACTCATGTTTTTGACTTCCTGGCCACTGCCGGTTTGAAAAGGTGATAGGAAAAAATAATAATAGCAATGCCACATATTATAGATATCATTACATTAACAGAAGTGCATTCATTTATGATAGTGAAGTATCAAGGAAGAGTCAATGTATCTGATACAGCATGATGTACCCTGGGTGTTTAATTCCTCATCTAGGAAATACAGACTGCCTAATGAGATGCATGATGCTAACTGACACCAAAAGTTGCACCTGCAGTTTGTACGCCACCACAGGAAGCATAACAGCTGCAAGGTACAGGCTGAAAGCATGCCAGGGCATGCATCTGTGTCCTGACTGGCACAATTATACATTTAACCTAGACCCAAATTAGCTGACGTTTGGGCTTCTGGCTTGTTAAATAAACAAGCTATATCCCATGACGGAGGTGGTCTGAGCACCCTGTCGATTGGCTGCAGCTTGCAAATGAGGCTGAAGTACTGAAAATTGTCCAAGGAAAACAGCTGGCTATGGCATTGGCAGAAGATGCACACAAGCCTCTTTGACCTATAATAATGCTTTTGATGTAAGTTGTGGCCTTTGTATGTCAGGAAGCATTTTCCCACATTATTACTGTCATGGTGCCACTTGGCATGTGGTTTGATTTTGTTTCACATTCATAACCATTTCTTTTCTTGCTGATGTTTTATTGCTTTGAAAAGGACATTTCTGCATGTTAAGAGATCTCCCCCCAAGCCTGTCCTTGGAAAAAACTTGTGTTCTTGGGAGTCTACGTTGCTTGTTTTCATTCACCAAGCAGCTTTTTCACAAGTCATTCTGTTATTGAAGTTTTCCCTTCCCTTCCTTATGAATACCCAAACCCAATACGAATACTGTATAATTTCTGCTATGTGTATTTTTAGATAACTTCCTGCATGATCAGTAGGTTATTTTAATTCAACGCAATAGGGAAGTTGCACTTTTCAATGCTGCAACTTTGCCAGACATGCCATAATGTCATTATCAAGGTAGCAGTGGACATTATTCTCTTCTAAGAGAGTGTTCATATAGAAAATCTATCATCTCTGAAATAGACAGCAGGGTTTACACAGAAAAACCTGTGGCCTAACTTCAATGCCTAAACAGTTGGTGTCTGACAGATGAAACCTTTCCCATTATGATGCGTTCATCAAGAAAATAGAATATATATTTTTTGATATTTAAGATCAAATTAGATTTTATATGGGTTGTGTATTCCCTTTTATTTATGCATTTTTCTTCCCACAGTACAATTTCTTCAGACTTATGCCACCATAATAAGAACCTGCAAATTGAGTCCATGCTTACCTTTTAATGTCTAAACATAAAAAACCAAAGCATACTAGATGCAAGATAGGTAAATGAGAAAAGCCATGTGATAGATGTTTCTCATCACTCAAGGGATCACATCTTCTAAAAAAACAGGCTTAGCATGTTGTCTAGTTTGGCCCCTAGTTACAGATTTATCTTGTTAAATGTTACTGAAGGCAAGGGCCTCATCTTCCAAGCTAAGCACTATTTTGATCTTATATTATGATTTCTTGGGAGTTTTTTTTTCTTTGTCTTTCTTTAGTTTCCTAAATAGCATGTGGATCAATCATTTACCATGTTTGTTTTGCTATATCAAACTGATAAGCTCTTGTCAGTTCATCAAGGTGGGCTTGAAGCATAGGCTGCATCTCCTCCCGTGGAGAGGGTGTTAGTGTTGCTGTGGACTGTTGTCCAAAGGAGATTGCAGGTGAAGAAGCCACGCCTCTAACAGGAGGTGTAGGAACTCTGTCGTCTTCTTCTTCTAACTCATCCTCCATTCCCTGATGCAAGTATGTCTGGATTGGTAAAGGTGGGCACCATCCATCACTATCATACCTACAATATAAATTATTTAGAGTTAGAAACTGCCCACTTTTAAAACATGAAGATATAATTCTTGCATTATATGGAGCTATAACCTATATTTTCATAATAATCACAACAAAATAAAACCCAGTTCTCCAAAAGCCATGCAAAAGAGGCCCAGTCAACAGTGATTTTGGCTAAAATTCATTTGTAAATTTCAGTCCAAATATATCAAGTTGTGCAAGGAAAATTAGTAACTGAAGATACACTATGGTACTATTCAATATGCATACTGTTGCTACTTCAGCTAATTCAAACAATTTTTAAGGTAGGAATTCAGTGCAGATAAAAGAAAACAGGAAGATCTTACATTCCTGTTTCTGGAAGCTTTGAGCTCTTCCAAATGCAGCAAAAGTTTCACAACATTTTGTTATGAAGGAGATTGGGGCTAATGTGTCCAAACTACATTGTTAAAATTCATGTGTATGAAAGCTGCATCTCTTTGGGAAATCTTTGAAGTTCTCTGTAAAATTAGCTTCCATGACTGATCTTCTCTTCCAGAGCACCCCCATCCTGGAAACGTTCTCTGTAAAATTAGCTTCCATGACTGAGCACCCCCATCCTGAAAAGATATGCTAATTGAAGGCTTCCCACCAGGAACCATTGTCACATAAATGTACCTGTCATGTAAAGCATCACAATGATAAACTATGAACAGAACAAACCCTGGTACAAAATAAACCATGTCTTCAGCAGGGAAGAAAAAAAAATGGAAGAAAGCATTGGTTATATTGGAGCAAGCCGGTTTCTGGGAGTTGCAGTTCAAAGACATCCAAGTAACAAAGGTTAAGAACCACTGATGTAAAGCATCACAATGATAAACTATGAACAGAACAAACCCTGGTACAAAATAAACCATGTGTTCAGCAGGGAAGAAAAAATGGAAGAAAGCATTGATTAGATTGGAGCAAGCTTTATATCTTAGGGATGGTAAGAAAAATACTGAAACCAACAGTGCAGATTCTGGTACTCTTACAGGATTTTTGCTGGTCTGGAAGAACTAGTCAGAGGCACACTTACTGAAAGTATATTCCACTGAATAAGTGAAATGTATTAATCACTAACTTAAGACTGTAGTAACAAAACAAATGAGACTGTGGTTAGAAAATGTGTTTTAATGAAACAGCTAAGTGAAATTATGCTGTGAAATCTGGTATCATGGCCAGAACTGTACATTTCTACAGAAAAGCTACCTGGCCCTGACCTAGCACAGCCAAGCTAGTGCCATTCATGAAACATGTTTGAACATGACTGCTTTCCTAATTCAACAATGATAGGCTAAACAATCCCTCATTGATAGAATCAAAATGTGAAAGAAATATATCCTAAACTATTCTGAATGTTCTTTTTCAGAAGAATTGGCTAAATTCAGTGTAACTCATAATAAAAAAAATGCAAGCAACATGTATGCTTTTAATAGCAAAACCAGTCATATATCTCAATTACCTTGAAATTAGGGTTACACTAAGTTGGTTCTGACTTAACTGCACATGCTAAGTAACTAACAATCCAAAGGCCATTTCTTTTTAAATAAACCTCTCATGAATGTCATGGGTGAGGGGACTCTGTGGGATGCATTTGATATAATTTGGCACATTTGGCAATGTCTCACGTTTTGAAAGACACTGAGTCCTGAAACAGAGATGAAAAGCAATGGAATGAAGGGAAGGTTTACTAGTGAAAATTTTCAAAGCCATTAGCCCTATTCAGGTATTCTAAAGTGTAAACATGGAAAGGAAAACGGAGATTTGAGCTCCAGACACTTTCTTTCTACTTCCAACTTCCCTGAGCTGGGGACAGTCTACAGATACGTTCTAATTGTGTTCAGATGGAAGTGCTTACAGAGGTCTATATGACTAGAAGGCTCAACAGGTCAGGGATCCTGATCACATGAAGTGTGTTAAGCATGTTCAGCTGAAAATAAATGGAGTTCCTTTGAAGAACTTCCCATCAATATGTGGAGAGAACAGTGTAATGTTTATCTCCAACTCCCACTACAAATCTGTGAGAAAGCCAGAATTTGGCTGTTGTGAGTGGGAGAAAGAAGAGAGCAAGAGTTCCCATAACATCAAGCATAAATGGCATTTCTGGTTGCTTACCCAGTCAGCTTTTGACATTTCAGTGGTATGATTACACACAGAGAGACAGGTGGAGGGCTTGATAGTAGGGAGCTACATTCTCCCCTGAGTTACTTGAATCCTGCATGCTAATTGCAGAGATAAACCAAACTAAATATGAGTCTACAAGCTGCACACATCAATTCTTCCATTTGTGTTTGTTGACCAAATTTTTCAATAGAATTAAATGGCATAATGTTACCGTATTTTTCCATGTATAAGACACACACACACCCTTTCCAACTCAAAATATTGATTTCTTATTTTAAACCTAAAACACATTCATTTAAAAATTAGATAACATTTACATACTAGTATGCATCACACTTTAACTTTATTCAGCCTCTGGGCTCAGAATACTTCTGAGTAGTGCCGACATATTCCACCTCCAATGAGGTGTGTTCCAATTGGTTTGTTCAGCATCAGTTGACATCAGTTACACAAGGCTTGTGATGGGAGGAAGTTAAGTCTAACTGTAGGAAGCTGGGCCTCCTAAATGGAGGCAGCCTGATTGCAAAGGCAAGGTATGGGCCATTTTGTTCTCTCCTCAGCTTGCTTTCATGTATAAAACGGCTCTCAGTTTTTAGTCTAATGATTTTAGGAAAAAGTAGTATCATATACATAGAAAAACATGGTATTCTTATGTAAACTGCAATGATTTTATTTTATAAGGATTCTGGGCTTTCCAGGCTTAGGATTTGTCTCATACATATGTTCTTTACATAAAACCATAGTCATTAATCAGCACAACATTATCAAAAGAAAGTGTAATTTGAAAGGAAAACACAGAAAAAGATATGTTTTAGTTGTGTGAAACTCTATTGTTTTAAGTATCACATATTACTTAGCCTGAAATAACCAGTGTAGTCTTGGAAACAAAGATAAAGTTGTCACCCAATAGATATTATAACTTCTTCAAAACCTCTAGTTTATGAATGTGGTATATTGTGCTTCTGTGTCCATGATTCATAAAGCCAGTAAATGACCCCACACAAGGGAAAATCCCAAAATATGACTCCTTTCTTCCATCAGTTAACCACTTCTCACCCAAACACAAAGCAATTGTCAGGGGTGTTTTTCAACAAGCATGAATGATTTCAACTGATGGGTGGTTTTAAAATTTGCATTCAGAATTTTAATTTAATTTATTTGTTTCATTTGTGTTCTGTTGACAGCTATGCTGCTGAAGTGGGCTGCAGTCTGGAAAAACCTATTCAGCTACTTCTCTTTCATTTATTTTAGTGACTATATCCTCTGTATACTTAGTGCATCTCTACATATGAATAGACATAGGCTCCACAAACATACCTGCCCTTTTAATGTCTAAAGACCACAGGTCTTTAATGTCTAAAGACCACAGGTCTGAGATACTGGGCAAAATCCTGCTCATGCTTAATTGTGTTGGGCATTACGACCAGTCACATGTTCCTGGTGCAGCCAATTAGACAATGCACCAACGGAAGTACTTTGTGAATAACATTTCTGCAATGGCTCTATCAAAGCTACTACAGGCATAACATTGAGTTACTTCTGCACTGAGTTATCCCTCCATGAGATTTTGCCCACTGAATCAAACATTTTGCTAAAAGATTAAAAAAGGACATTACCCTGCTTCTTGCTGATCCAGCCCATAATGTTCTAATTCTGTGCCTGGAAGAGGCTGTATTGGAGGGGGTGGAAGAGGAACGTTGGCCCAGTTAGACCCATTATTTTTCTGGGGTTTAGATGTATTTTTGTTTTTCTTTTTCTTCCCTCCTTTCCCACCTGAAAACAAGAAACATTACAGAAGTATAAAGAGACCAAGTTGATTGTTTACATTTCTCAAAATCCAGATGGCACACTAAAAGAGAACAGAGGGAGAGGGAGAGTATTTTTATCTTAGCAACATCAGCAGCAATATGTTAGAGTCGTCATAAGGTTATAAATAATAATAGGATGGAAGGGAGTGAAAATAGTTTGTGTAATTGCCCAAAATTATTTCTTTTTTCTTTCATACACTTTATATAGCCTTGTCACAATGAAGGATAAGCTGAATAAAAGTTGATACAGTATTTGCTGAATCAAAACTAAATTTATTGATTTATTCATGGCTGTTGTAATCCTCCATGCAGTAATTGTTGGAAAAAAAAGACCATGGCAACACTTTAAGATGGCAGAAATCAGTGTTAATAACAGCATTTTGCATTCTCTTTTCTGCATCTCCCCTGTCCCTGGGAATAGAGTACAGTGGTGCCTCGCATAGTGATCGCTCCGTTGAGCGACGAAATCGCTTAGTGATGGAGTTTTTGTGATCGCAAAAGCGATCACTTTGCGATGGTCCCTATGGGGTTTTTTCGCTTTGTGATGATCGCAGGGAAGCGATCATGGCAAAGCGAACCTTTTTTAACAGCTGATTGGCAGTTTCAAAATGGCCACCGGGAAAACAAAATGGCCGCCCACTGTTTTTCCAGCGAAAATGGCAGCGCTATGGAGGATTTTCGCTTAAAGGTGAGGTTTTAAGCCCATAGGAATGTATTGATTGCGTTTTAATGTGTTTCTATGGGCTTTTTAATTTCGCTTAGCGATGTTTTCGCTTAGTAACATTTTTTCCAGAACCGATTAACGTCGCTAAGTGAGGCACCACTGTATTTAAGGATACTACAACAGACTTTATTAAATGATGTTTTAAATGGGGTTTTTTTGCTGTGCGAAGATCGGTTCCCTGCTTCCAGAACCAATTTTCACTGATTGTCGGGTTTCAAAATGGCTGCCAGCTGAAGAAAATTCCCCACTGCTGTTTTCTAGGATGGATTCCTCACTTTACAGGCACTGAAAATGGCCACCGTATGGAGGATCTTTGCAGGTATTCAGCCCATTGGAATGATTTGAAAGGTTTTCAATGCGTTTCAATGGGTCTTTTTATTTTGTTTGATGACGTTTTCGCTCTACAGTGATTTCGCTGGAATGAATTAATGTCAAGTGAGGCACCACTGCATATATAGAGAGAGCTGTTTTCTAACTGGAAAAATACGGGCCGTTGTATTAAAACATACTGATAAATTTCTGTCTGTAATATTTTAAGCCCATCTAAGGTAGCCAGTTCATGACTGGCACAGCCTTCCGTCATTCAGAGGTCAGTAAATTGAATACCCAGCTCACAAGGGTGGTGGCAGTGGCAATGCATACCCTGCATAATTAAAATGTAAACCATCCAGTGAGTGCTTTAAGCACATTGGGGTAGCCTATAAGCAGCACACTTTAAAGTAATGATTGTGTTCTTCATCCTCAGAAAGAAGAGGAAAAAAGGGTTAGGGAAGGAGACACTTATACAGGGGAACATTTGTGTATGATAGATAAACTGAAAGCTGTATAGAGGTTTGGGATATATAAGAGCTAAAATAATAATAAAGCAGGAAAGAGAAAATCTGGCATGGCAAAATTAAAATCATTTAAGAAGTTTCATACCGGAAATGTCAAACTATTGCACAATATATTTAAATCAAAACTTTTTGCTGCTATTTCTAAAGCTGTGACCCATTTTTCAATGGTATGGTTGCATAATTATAACACAGCATGCAGTACAAAATCTATACTTTATGAATGTATGCAGCTCTGACTCTTTTAGACAGTGACTGCCACAAATAGCTTCTCTTTCAATTCTACTGTGTTGCTATGGGTAAACTTTTTGATGTACAGTAGAAATATTGTGAAGCCTCACAGGAATTTGGAGGTTTAATAATGATACAACCAAAATATTAACCTCATCATGAAGCTCCTCAGAGAAAACCAGAGCTATAAAGTGAAGATTGATTGATGAATAAAGTCAGCATTGTGCCAGAAAAGCGAGAATGTTACAAAATAAGATTTCATATCATGCTGAAATACACAGGGTACAAAGGCTACAAATCTTTTCTTATTATCTCTAAATGGGTTTCTTGTTCAGTTAGAGCAAATAAGGCACACTGGTATTTTTATTTTTTTATTATTATTGAAGTCACGGCTTTATAGACGAAAGCGACAAATTCAAAAATCTATACGGAAAGAATATTGCAGTATTTGCACAGACTCTGAGTGCAAGATATCATTCTCTCAAGGCCATAAGTGTGTTTGCTTTTTTAAAAAGCTGCTTACATGCATAAACACTTCTCCTCACACAAATTGTATTGAAACCAACCTGATAGGCTGCCACTTCTTTCTGAGCTGTTGTGAGAGCTGGTGGTGCTGAAATCCTGTGACTGGTTGTGTGGCATTCTATTAGACAATCCCTCAGCCAATCGGTAGTCAGGGATGTAAAGTAAGGCTAAGGGTTAAAGGGCAAAGGTCACAGTGCCATCATGTGATTAGTTTATAGCACATGCACAACATGCAGTTAGCTGATAAACAGCTGATGTGGTTGGGCTGTGAGACATAGTTAACCTAATGTATCCTAATGAGTGGGGTGGAACTTAGGTAGGTCAAGCCACTAGGAAAAGATGAAATCATAGCACAATACATTAGTTGTGTACCTAGAGGTACAGGATGCATGCAAGGTATGCTGTCAGATAAGGGAAATAAGAAGATGGAAAGACAAGATAGAGTTTTCTAACCATGCACAAAAGATTTACTTCAAAAACACTGTAAGAAAAGTAAGAACCAGAATTACCATTATTGCCTTTGTTCTGATCTGGCAGAGAGTAACCAAATCCCATTAGATCGCTTTTTTGCTGAATTGAACTCTTCCACTGAGGGTCTGGTAAATCGACTGCCAATTCATGGATGCTGTTGGAATGCAGTATTTGTGTTGTAGCATATGGTGTAGCTTGTGTTATCTGACTGGAGCTATTGTAACTGGTTTTGGTAGTGAAGTCAATACTGCTATAAATGGCTCCATCAGAAAGCATTGTGGCTGTTTTATCCCCTTGGCCTGGCACCGGAGGTAGCACGTCTGGGATGAAAACAGAAGAATGAAACAAATTAGCAGAGGAATCCCCAAAACCATCAAGGTTTTAATAAGAAAAATAAGTATGATATTTTGCATTTCAGCTGAGGCAGGGTCCATGAACTAATGAAGGGGAGATGATATACAACTACCTCCTTGCTATCAGCATGTGTGACAAACTTTCTACTTGTCCTTCACGTCTCACTGCCTTAAACCATCTTTCCTCTATATCTTCAGCTGTGAAAGTGAAGTTTGGAATATTTCTGTCTTGAAGAATGTTTTCAATTGCTCATTTCATTCAGGGCCAATGAAACTGTCTGTGCTCCAGGGAAATGATGAAAGGATTGACTCTACAAATCACAGAAGAAACCATCTCTTGCTGCTGTCTCACCTCTCTCTCTCTCTCTCTCTCTCTCTCTCTCTCTCACACACACACACACACACACACACACACACACACACACACTCACACACACACACACGCACACACGCATACTCTGAGTATTCCACAGAACTAACCAATGAATGTTGACTTCTCCTTAGACCACTTTTTCTAAATACTGTAGATGTACAGTATGTATGTATGAATGTACATAACATGTATATTTGCTCAGGACTATCATATTTTTAAAGCTCAGGAGAAGGAAAGTATGAATAAATCTGTTTGCAATGAGTCAAGACTTGAACAGCGTTAATTATATGATCAGTAAATTATGGTGATAAATTAAACTGTTGAAAATGAAGGAAGTCATAGTTACACCAGATAAAAATATATAAAGTATATTTGCATTATATCAAATAATTTGTACATCTGGTGAATAATGAAACTAAGTTATCTATTCGCATAGATAAATTTGTAAATTCTAATGTATTAAAGACTCATTCCTATGTGTCTGTAGAGCTAATCTCTAATGGCATGAAAGGTTCAAGGAAGTTAATCAGAACATATCGGTTATATAAGGTGTAATGTAGGAAGCCATAACAATCTTTAAACTTATAAAAAGTTGAATATATGCATATGTTAATCTTTTTGGAGCTGAATTATAAACAGAATCTTTAATGCAGTATTTGTAGGCTTGCTTTATTCCTATCAGTCACATAAAATACAATATAATCACCGGAAACCAATCACGCAAGAAATATAAAATAAATAAAAATAAAATAAATCATCACCAGCATGCAGAATGAAATCCAAGAAACTACTTTTTTTGTAAACATTCTGATTGTGTTTTAATTCATTAGTTATTCCTTTTGTTTACAGATAGTCCCTAAACTATTTTTTCACATTTTTCAAATGTTCATTTCATAACAGACATATTCGTCTGTTTCCTTAATCTTGGTACATCCATATTACAGTTAACAGTATCAAATAGGTTTTGAAAACTTCTTTTAAACAAATCTATATTTCAAAAATTACTTTTGATGCTACAAAACATTTTCTTTCACTCATATCAATTTACAGAGTTCATGTTAAGAAATACTTGTTCTGGTCACAGCTATTGCCTTTTTTTGCCCTGGAAATGATGACTCTCCATGGAAGGCCTTCCTATAGTCATTTCCAGACATATTTCCAAACTATGTCAGAATGATGTTGCTAGGAAATACTCAGCTGAAACCCAGCAATGCTTGTAAAGATGAACGCAAGGCAAAATAAAGAAGTCTCCTAGAGTGGTCGCAATGACCAGATAGGTGGGGTGTGAATTAAATAAATAAATAAATAAATAGGTAGGTAGGTAGAAAGAAAGAAAGAAAGAAAGAAAGAAAGAAAGAAAGAAAGAAAGAAAGTCTTCAGACCATTTCATAATGAATTTGTATGTACTACTGTCTATCTCCAACCTCATCTTTGGGAAGATTTTCACCCCTTAGCATGGCATACCATGGTCATGGAACATTCTACCCTGGCCTCTGTAAGGCTTTGCAGTGGGAAGGAACTTCATAAATATAAAGTTCATTATCTAGATAAGCAAGATCTATGATTGAGTACATCCACAGCCAGCAGAGGCCTGCTGAGAGGGAGGAGTAGAATTTTTCCTTGTCCATTTCTATAGCTTTTTTTCCTTTAGTGTTTCTCTCCCATTGATTACATTGGGATGGGAATTAACTATGACAGCTCTGAGTGTGGCATAGTTCCCAAGGATCTATAGCCTTTGGCAACCCATCTAGGGGAAAACTGCAGAGCTTCCCCTTTTTTGAATTCTCAGACTCCAGAGTGCCAGTCTTAGAGAAGTACTGGCTGCACACCTTTCCTGCGGCATTGAAGAAGCCACTGCAATTGGATCTCCTACTTTGAGGGTGGCTATGCTCCCAGAGATCACAGCAATAGCACTTATATGTATTAAACATATAATTAAAACATATGACTGTTTACTAGGAATTGGGAAAAGGGACGATAGCATGTAATTGGTTGAGCTGTGTATTACAAGACAAATGCATTACCAAAATAATCATGCCTTGCTTCATCTGGTTGAAAAATTGTGGAACTGTTTAAAATTATCTTGTTTAAAAGTATTGAACAGTGTCATTCCGTTTACACAAATGATGTTATGCTTGCTGACACCTCATTCTGGACTATGAAAAAGGGGGAGTTAAGAGCAGTTTCCAGTTGTGTAATGGAGTGCAGAACTAGTTGCAAAACTGTCTGTACAATTAGGGATACAGTTGGCAATGTGTCTAAAGACTACAAAGCAAAAAACCATGAACTGCTCATGCAACTGAAAAAACCAACAGGACTCTGCTTGCATGCACTTCCTCCTCTAACCTGCTATTAAATTTAGGTCCTTTTTAGGTTTCATCTGGTTGAGAAGCTGTGTCTCAGAACTCATAAATTTCTACAGGAGTAAATTAAAAGATGCAAGTTTTTTAAACAAACATATACATACAGTGTGTGTCTAGGGAAAAAAATCCAACACATAGCAGAAAACAGCCATCTCTTTTCTTCTTAATTGGTGATTTTATTGTATTGGAACATGATGTTTTCCCTTTTTGTTGCATATATTTTCAACTTCTTTTCTAAAATAAAAGTTCCATGCTACTAAAGGAAGGATGTACCCTATCTTTTAAACACTAACCAAGGTTTGTGTAGAAACACCAAGAAAAGTCAACCTACCTCCACGCCCAAAATTTGCAAGATCATTTGGGCCACTTGTGGTGTTGTTTACTGGCAGGCTGGTGGCAGGCCAAGAATCCGCGAGCCAAGGATAACTGGGGTCACTTGCATTTAGCAGACCTGGCCGGCTGAAGAAAATCAGCAATGAAATATATCTGTAAGAAACCTTCATGCAATTGTAACTGAGGAGACTTTATGTAGTTGCCACAACACAAAATATAACAGTTTTGAGATTTTAAAATTATTTCATATTAAAATTGCCAAGACGGTCTTAATACAAAAAGTATCACCAGTTACAGAGGCTTGCACCAATCTTTTGTGAAAAACAGGAGGCATCAGTTAAAAATGCGCTAGAATCCAAAGGAAGTCTCTTGCCTGTCTTGAAAACAAGCGCAAGCTATGCCACTGAAGGATCCTAAACTAGAAATGAATGATAAATTGCCACCTCAAGGGAACAATCAGTCAAAGTGACTGTTCTGTATCAGCCATTTCCAGGACTCTGGGCAACTATTTCTTCACTTCCTGCATCCCAAATGCCTGCCTGTCATTCAAAAACTGCTAGCTATTCCTTTGCGCACCCTTGCATGGTTTTAGATGAAAGCAGGTTTCAGTGGGATTAATAGAAATTTCAAAAGAGCATTTTTATCTGTGTCAACAGTCTTTCTTGGTCCTATAGTTTGAGTTCAGATGTGGAGGCCAAATGAGGATTGAACACATTTTAATGTTCAGTACAATTAAAAGAATATGGTTCACCAAGCACGTGCGACACAAAAAATATGGTGAGATAAATGGAAAACAAAATGTGAAATAAACGAATTTGATGCTTTATTTGCTTATTTGCACACTTTAAAATAAATAACAAGTGTGTCAAACAGGATGCTGGAGTAGTTAGGCCTTTGGTATGATTGAGCATGGCCCTTCTGATGTTCTTACTTAACATTTATACCCATTGTATCCTGCAATGAATCCCTCCTGGCAAAATCCCAGAGAAATGTAGGTTTCTATGGAAACTGCAATAAGAAGATCCAGCAGCAATCTTCCCATATCCATGAACTCTCATTAGACCTAATCTCTTTTTGCTAAAATATTGATTAAATAGGAGATTGGAAGTTATTACCACCGTCTAATTACAATCTCCATATTGGCACAAAGAAAATAAATGAGGATATATGGGTGCGTTATCAACTTTTATCAATTTCAATTGAGTAGCCAAAGTTGTAGAACCCAGTCCTATCAATCTACAACCTATTCATCTTCCATGAATCATTTATTTTGTGATCGATTGTATGTAATTGTTCACTCACACCAATTTAGTGGGAGCCAATAAGGAGTCTTAAACAACAGCAACTTCATTTACTAATGCCTAATTAATGCAATAAACATCCTGAAAACAAATGAACACATTCCTTCCGATAGTTCCTACTAATTTCTTCTTGGGCATCTGGGAGATATGAAACATCTGGACTTGATTCCCCTCAAGTGTACAACAGATCATTAAAATCTGGTGTAAGCCATTTAATTCCTACTGGAATTGTCACTGTTACAACTGATGGCGTATTACTCTTTTTTAAGAGTTCCTTATCAAAAATTAAACATGATAGTTTTAAATATGACAGAACCTGACACTGAATATATATATATATATTTAACAGTCATACCTTCCGTTGCTCATGAGTCCTCCATCTCCTCTTTGAAAAGTGACTGTTCGCGGTTTTTAAATACAAAAGCATAGAAAAGAATAGATAAGTCTGTTAGGCATATGAGATCACTTATCTCAAGCATTGGCAGCATACACAATGTAATTAAAAAACAAGAAAGGAGGCACCATACTTCCAAGTTTCCTCTACACAATATTGATTTAAATCAATTTCTCCCAGCCACAGTCTCATGGGACAATTTATTTCTGATCCCTTGATATTATGGGTTTGGGGAATTCTAAAATCAATAGCCCTTTGCTTTCAAAAATGAATGGGAGGCAAACACCCTGTAACTGTTCACATTCTGCAGAAAGCACTGCTCCCCCATTTCTTTGAGCCAAATTAAAATGAAATTGTTTTGAAACTCTTCATTGTGTTAGTACTTCATAGATAAGTAATTACCCAGAGTTGCAGGTATATACATGTCATCATAAGATGAGTAAAAGTGATCTTTGTTGTCGTTGAAACAGACATGGGGAAAATAAAACACAACTACATTCTCACCTCATATAAAACACCAATATGATTCGCACCCAAACTATCTTGAATAGAGACCTGGTATAAACTGTACAAGTGCCAGGATAAATTATCCTGAAATCTCAGATTAATGAATCTGTTTTCAAGCCCAGTCTGAATGTATATCTTTTATGTTACAATTTCAAATTTAGTTTCTTAAACAGCTTATAACCATGACTAGGTCTATGTTGGTATTGAAAATCAGATTATTTTTTTTTAAATCAGCACACTGGATGATAAAGCAGTGTTCTTCATAGGGGGGTGGTTGCTTATTGGAACTCTTGCATTACTGTCTCAAATTATAGCTGCTCTAGGAGGTTGCGTCCTTGTGATGGAAGTCGGTTGGAATCTCTTGCATCCAATCAGAAGAGAAACTTCAAAGTGAAGAGAAGTCCAAAATTACAGTACCAGCTTTTAAAGAATGAAGACTATAGGTGTGCTGTGTTTTTAGATAGCTCCTAGAGTATCAGTATGGAAATGTAAAACTCTGCATGCACACTCTTTCATCAGAAACTGGAGGAAATAAAACAAGGTTTCCTCCAATGTCATAACTGAAATAACATTGTGAAGTAGGTTAGCTTGACAGACAGGGACTGGCTTCAAATCAGTCAACCTCCATAGCTGACAGGAAATGTGAAGCTGAGATTTTACATTCAAATACAATAGCCCATCAATTGTGTTATGCACTAGCTCACTCCAGACTTCTTTCAACCATGAAAGAGCACCACTTAGGTTTAGGTGTAAGGATTGGCTCTTTGTACAAAGGCCCTCAATCATGATGTGGTGTAAATTAGCAGTATGCATACACATGTAAGATTTTTCTGAGAATAAAAAAAAGTAAATAAAAAAGTTTCCTTATCGATATACAAAGACAAAGTCATTGAAACAATGTATCTCTTCCTTTTACAGTCACTATATATTCTCTGTCAAATGGCTGTATAGATTCAAAATGGAAATGCTGTGACCAGCACATATGTTGACATATAAACCTGGATATCTGCAGCCTTCTGACAACACATTGAAATGTTGCCATGTTATCACTTCCACAAGTGGCTTCACAATGCACTGTTTAACATCAATGAAAACAAAGGGGACTCCTTTGGGATCCCACACTGAACGACCTGGGAACTGATGATGAATTGCCCATCACCACAGTATGGGCAATTATCCTTGCTGGAAAATTACAATAAACTTCACATTAAATGGCTTGCCATACTTATCTGGAGATGATGCAAACAAAATACAAAATTCATCGATGCAAACAAAATACAAGTATAACCACGTAAAATATTAAATGAAAAATGACACTCAGAAACTCCTCTGTCATTGTTATACTGCTTCTTAATATATACCAAAATGAGTGAAACATGTTGGTCCTGCTAAAGGAAATGGATACTGGGTTCTAGTTTATTGGTTTACAAAATACATGGTTAGAACCATAGGTAAAATCTAATTTGGGATTCTCCTCTTTCCTGGCCTTGTGTTTTTTCATTTTCCTCTTGTTTTCTCAGGTAGTGGAGTCATACCATTTATCCCAGAGACTTTTTTGGGAAGTAAGATCTTGATGTGGTGCCACTTCCACATACACAAATACTTGCAGCAAGGAAACATTCCTTCAGAGCTTAAGGTAAAGGAATCAGATATTGAGAGAGAGGAACATATTTCTCATTTATTTACTAACAGGGTTACCCCAGTTAAGGTACAGTATTTTTTAAAAAACAGGCAAAAAGTTCTAGGATTGCTTCACTCAACTATTCTTGATTATGAGAGAATTCCAAAATATAACTTTTTGTTTCAGTATTATAGGACATGGCGCCTGCATCTTGTTATCGATCAACAATTTAGCCCCAAAGTCAGAGGCTGAACTCTCTTGTCACTTAGGCTGCATTTTTACATGAGGAAAAGTGGTGAACAGGACGGGCCATATATTCTTGCTTCAGTAGGAAAGACACCACAATATGTATGTATGGTCTTACAAAACGAACTGTGGACAAATGCTGTGGGTGGAATAGGGTTTTGATGATAGGCATTGGAAACTATTATCGCAACCAAGAGTGGATTCCCCCACCCCCATGTAACCAACTAGATAGATGTGCTAGTTAAAGATGAAAGCTCTTCCAAAACATTTTAATCTTTTGTTTTCTTTTTTAATGGATTTTTTTACTCCAGAAAAGTTATTTTTCTTTATAATATTCTATGATTGCTGAATCTTAAAAATAGCTTCTATACAGTAAAGTTTAGCAACAGTGCTATCTGCTCTTTTACTGTTTATACATTTCTTAGAGTTTTATTTCAGGTGCATACTTAAAAAAAAGAAAAACTATCTGCAGAAAAATAGAATGTCATGGTGACTTTCATTTATGAAATGTGATCCTATTATCCTCGGAGCAGCAGTTCTTATCCTGTGAAAGAGATAACTGCCCAGCATTTTCTTTTTATGTATGTGTCTGCAGTAAAAGGATAAAAAGTTCCTGGTACCCAAATTAATGCCTCATTTTCTCTCCAATTCATTCTTATTTAAATTATATGACATTCTATTGGATTTGTGAAAGCTTCAGAATTTCATACTATTCTACTCATGCCAACACCTGATCTTCAAGGATTCTTCTTTCCTCCGCAACGTATTGCACAAAAAAGTATATTTTCTGCCCTGTTGCACACAACAGAAGCTGGATCCAACCCAGTTAAAAAAATAGACAAGTAACAAGGAGAACATCACTCTCACAGGATTATCATTTGTCACTTTAGTTGCCTTTTTTCAGGACAGGTAAGCTGCAGAAGTCAATGCTATGATTATCATTATTGCTATATATTTGTATCAGCATTTCCTAGATAATTAACTGATTTGTACAGAGCATAATATAGCCTTTCTAGATGTAAGTGTAAAAAGAAAATTATTAGTGAAGCTGATTTGAGTATCTAATCAGGGATTTTCATGAAATTGGTGCATCCTGAAGTCCCAAAAGAAAGTGGAAGATGTCCTCCTTGTATTCTTTCTGTTTCTCTCTGACTATTATCACTAAAAATTTACAGAAAAGCTAGTTCAATAATCATGGCTCTTATGCAAGTTCCTAAACATGCTGAAGTATAGTCAGTATATGCAAAGGGAGAAACTAATTTTTTTAAAAATATAATGCATAGAGATTTATTGAGTGTGCAGGATAGATTCTTTAGGAATCCTTGTTAACATGTGATGCAAAGGCAGAAGATTACAAACAGCATGTATAATTAAGCACACACACACTGAAGAAAAACCAATATTTAAAGTATACAAATATACTATGACAGTTGCTAAAAACTAGCTATAAAAACTATCTCACAAGGTTAAACATAATCTTCATACAGGCTAGAAATACAAAATAGAAATAAACACTCAGCTGACATTTTGAGGCAAGAAAGCTTTCTATGTGCCTATCTCTAGCAGGCCACATTTTCCCACCACAAATGAAAACTTTAATGTTGGCAGCCAAGTCTTATTCCTTTTCCTGATAAGCTGTTCCTCAAATATGAATATAGATTAATCCTCTTCTAATAAGCATTAACTCAGAACAGATAATCAGCATACAAAAATTCTATCAAATCTTCTGCCTACATTTCGATGACTGGCAAATAATTTATACTCATCTACAGCAGGACCTGTGTGGCCAAATGTTCAGCTAACTATTTCTGATTTGTATGCACTTATTCAATCTCATAAAAATCTTTAACTCAGAAAGGCTACTTACTGCTTATAAGCAAATATATATAATTGTCATTTTTCCCAATCATGTATGAGTTGTGCATTCTCATAAATGGATGTGTTGAACTTACAAGACAGAAGACCCATGGAAGATACATTGTTTTTCATTTTATGAATTTATAGAAAGAGGTTTCAAAGAAGCAGCAATGTTAGTCTGTACAAGTATATCAGAGGAAAACAAAAACATTAAAAAAGTATAAAGCAAACATGTAGTGGTATCTTAGAAAGTATCTGTTATATTTTAATGTGAGCTTTTATGGCTCAAGTTCACTTCCTCAGATATTTGAGTGAGAGCTTATGACTTCTGGGAGGCAATGGAAGACAGGAGGGCCTGCCGTGCTTTGGTCAATGGGGTCACGAAGAGTCGGACATGACTTAATGACTAAACAACAAAAATATGACTTCCTCTCACTCTAATGACTGACACAAAAACTGACATTATATTTCAATGTTTTTAAGGTGCCACAATGTTTTTCCCCTCTTCTTCTTCTTCTTCTTCTTCTTGTTTGTTGTTGTTGTTGTTGTTGTTTCTTGTTTTTGTCTGAGCTGTATTTTTGTGATTATTCAGTAAATGTGTATGGTCTATGCACCATGAAACATTAAATAGGAAAAGTAAATGGATGTGAAGTAAATATTAGTGATACAATAATTTTGATGTGCCAAAAATGTTCTTTGAAAATATTCTGGAAGCTTTCCACAAGGAAGGGTCAGGTGTAAAAATTGCATATGCAGTTGTAATCATGCAAGTG